TTATAATAACTATTTTTTATAATATGTTTTATTTATATATTTCTGCTTTGTGAAAAATCTTTGTGTCATAAGGCTTATAAAATTTGATATCCTAATGGTTTAGTTATAAATGGGTTTGTTTTTGGCTTTTTTATAACTTATTATATTCAACTTAATTTTAATATTTCTATATTTATATGTAACAATAGCACAAAAGTTTTTTAAAAATAATTTGGATTTAAAATTAAATGTATATTTAATGTAATTCTTGATTATTAATATATAATTATTTTTTTTGTCCAATTATGATTTACTTTGGTTAATATTATATTAATCAGTTTTACAGCTTTCAATAAGTATTTATTAAAAGAGATAGTTGTGTTAGTTGTGTATTTTTATGTATATATAAACTATAAGGCCTGTAAATACATACATACATACATACATACATATATACATATATACATATATACATATATACATATATACATATATACATATATATATATATAGATATATATATATATATATATATATATATATATATATATATATATATATATATATATATATACATATATATATACATATATACATATATATATACATATATACATATATATATACATATATACATATATATATACATATATACATATATATATACATATATACATATATATATACATATATACATATATATATATATACATACATACATATATATATACATATATACATATATATATACATATATACATATATATATACATATATACATATATATATACATATATATAGATATATATATACATATATACATATATATATATATATATATATATATATATATATATATATATATATATATATATATATATATAGATATATATAACCTTGCTTATGTAATATGCTAATTAAAATACTATAGCATATTCTATCCATTATTGTATATAAGGTTATAAACCCCAATTAATATATCTATTATTATATCCCAAGCATTCATATTAGTGGAGGTGAAGGGCACTACAATTTATCCTTGGAAAGCAAAGTTTTTTAGTAGTGCTTTACTCTAGTATTCAAAATTGTACTTTTATTTTTATTCGTTTTTTTTCTTTTAGCTATTGTTGTGCTTAGATTTGTTCTTCCTTTTGATATTTATTACATTCATTAATCAAGAATTTTATCACTTAAGGCTACTAATATTGAGCTTTTGGTGTTGTTCTTTTAATATTTATTGCATTCATCAATCAAGGAGAATATCCCTTAAGGCTACTAATGTTCAGCTTTTTCGATGTTGTGGAGTGTGATTATATTAATATTGTGCCCATCTTTGGTGTATTATTGTCTCTAGCTTTCAAAAATATAATTACATGATTTCTTTTGTTTTTGGCGTTTTGCTCTATTGATATTAAATTTTGCCATCTTCTATTGATATGAAGTGTGATTATGAGCTCAAGTGGATTCTAGAGTGTGATGATAAATTTAATTATTATAGAAATAGTTTTAGAGATAAGTTAGAGATTTCACGGGGTAGGTGTCAATTTTTAAACTTTTGAATTTAGACTTCCTAAGAGGTCATCCAACCCAGTATTATTCAAACTTAAAAACTCTTAACCCTAAATATCCTAAAACCCTTAATCGATTGGAAAAAGGGTGTACTCTACTCTTTCCCTCTATTTGAATCTTTATAGATTATTTCTTGAATCATTTTCTTTAATTGTTTACACAATTCTTCAATTTTCCATTTAATCTTTTCTCTTTACTTTTTGCTCTTTTTTTAACTTTTTTTTTTATTTGAGCCACCTTATGTTTTTAATGTTTCTTCCTTATCTACAATGTTTTCTTCTTTAACACATCGATTATTTATTACTTTTATGATTCTCATTCTTAGCTTAGTGTTGAGTTGAGTGTTTTCTATCCTCTTTATACTACTCTAAATATTGAGTATAAATATGTGTATAAAGTTAAAAATTCTATTTTTGTTTTGTTTGCAAAGTTTTTGATTAGTTCTAATGTTAAGTATTCTTATATTCCAAAGGTTGAATCACTTTGGCCAAAATTCCAAGTTGAATATGTGTACCCATTTGTAAATATTATTTTGTTATTTTGCTTTACTGTTGCTACTAAGGAGTTTATATATTCCCTTGAGAGTATAGATTTTCTATTGATTTTCCTGTCTTAATTGGTTAATTGTGTATTGAGGAGGTTGAGCGATATGAATCTTTTGTTTATATTGTCGTAGCTGAAGTATTTTATGACATGAAGTCTTTTGTTTTCCAAACTTTGAGCATATGTCTTTTTTATTTCCTTATTTTTGTATTGATAGCTATTGAAAATTCCTTTTTTATCCACTTTTTCTTTTTTCATAATGACTCTTTCTCAATTTTTCTCACTTTCTCATTTTTGCTTTGACACTTCAAACTTTTTTTTCTTTAAAAGAGGGGGTAGAGGGGATGGACAATAATTCAACCCCAACAATAGAGTGAGGACAAGTAAATATGATAGTGGAGCAAAGATGAATGACATAGATTGTGGAGTGAGGATAAATATAACGAGTCCAAATGAAATAGCCCCAATATAGTAAAGCCAAACGAATGCAATAATAGAGTGAAAAGGAGTATAATAAGAGTTGGTGTTTCAAAATTTTTTTTCCTTCAAAGGGATAAAAAGGATGTAGAGGATAAATGGAGTGAATCCAACCTCCCATGTATAGTGCTAAACAAAGATGAAGGTTGATATTGACTAAAGGGAATACGTAAAGGCAAGTTCTATTTATGATCATGAGTTTGAGTTAATAGTTATTTCAAAAGATTATCAACGAATTGATTTAAAGGCAAAATGTATCATTTGTTGCAATAGCATTTTATGGATTATAATAGTTTTTAAAGTCTCTTTTTTTAATTCAAAGTTATGGGTTCAAAGTTAGTTTAAACATTTGGTAATTGTATACAGAGTTGTAATTAGTTCATTGAGATTCTATAATCAATTGATAGTTATCGCATGGCTTTAAGTTTTGTTTCAATCATGGTTGTCAACAACTACATTAGTGGTTATACATGCATGTGTACGACCATTGCCATAAAGAATAAAAATTAACTTCACCGCACGACATAAGTGTAGACAGCAATGTGTGGCAACAAGTCGAGCAATAAAAGATAAACTTAAACTTGTATCAACCAATACAGAGAAAATAATAGGAAACCTTTTGTTATAAAAATGAGCTTGGAAAGAAACACTTGATGAACTGGTGCTGAGTGAACCCCTTGATGATACTCCCGAAAGAAAGATGAAGGGGTCCCTAATTTATTCATGTAAAGTCCCTCTGTTACTCACATGACTCCTCGTTTCCCAGATACATCTTAGTGTCCAGACTTTCCACTACAACAACACCAACAAAACGTTATTGATACCAAGGTCTCCACCTAGGAAATGGAAGTTGCCAATTTGGAAAATGCCGACAACGCTGATAAATGTAATCAACTTCATTACACGCCTAGCAGCGAATATCATGGCCACAACCACGTCCTCGCCCTTGTCCTTGAACTCGAGCAATAGCAGCATCAACCTCTATTGGAATAGAACCATCGCCCATAAGAAGTGGAGTTGAAAGAAGTGCAGCGAAAAGTGGAAAATGCAACGTCTTATAATGTTGTGCCAAGCGAAAAGCATCGTCAAAGGTGGCTAGAGCAAGTGTATGCACAAGTTTAACAAGATCTTGACAAAGTGTTGACCACAACATTCCTAGCTTAATCTACTTTGACATATTTGGCTCTGCATGAAACAAGAAGCTTCAGAAACAAATGCCAAATTGCATCACTGACTCAGATGGCCCTTGACGAAGACAATGCGACTATTGGAAGGCATCATCACAATCATCAACATATCCGAATGCAAGTTTAAAGACATCCGGGAGAACACTCCAATCCCCACGAGTGGCTACATTCAAACCATTGTACCACTGCAACACCATCTTTTGGAGATACATGGGAAATTCATGCAAATGCCAAGTATCATCTCAAGAATGATATATAATAATCACCATGAAGTGATAGAACCAATGGTATACATCATCCCTAGGATTCCCATTAGGGAATTTCAACTAAATATGAGGATTGGCACCAAGAGTAGGAGGAGATGTACCATGTGTCATGAATACCACTATCAATTGAGTTTGGTTGTTCAATTGTAATCGCATCCAAAGTAAAAGGAGGAGGAGACTATTGCTTTGCCATGAAGATGAATGAAAATGAAAGAGCAAAAAAAGATAAATGAAAAAAAGCTAAAGGGAAAGGGAGATTTAAACAATACAAAAGCTAAATCTAAACTAAAATCCTAAAAATAAAAAAAAACAAAAGAAAGAAAATGGAAAATGCTAAATTTAGATAATGCAAAAGTTAGATCTAAACCAAAATTCAAAATCCAAGTAGTCCTTAAGGACAATCAAAAGTGCCCTTCATTTCCATTAATGTGAGTGTATGGAATATAAAAAGGGAATGCAAAAAATGTGCATATCAATTAGCTCAAAAACCCTCATATACAGAAGCAAGTGGTCCAGATTGAAATTAATTTGATGGTCACCAAAATCCCATTATGCTAATATTAGTATACGGCATTATAGCTATACACTTGAACCTCACACATCAAATAAAAAAGGGTTTAAACCCTAATTAATATATCTATTGAGCATTCACAAAACAAAAAGTTTATTTAATTTTTAATGTAATTTTCAACTTATTAAATATAAATTTTATTTTTTAAAAATTTATATTATCTAGATGTTTCATTAATATTTAATCTTATAAAGTTTTGTTATATATTTTTTATTATTCTTGTAAAGTAATTTGATTTAAAACAAAATATATATATATAATTAATAATAGTACTTTTCTTTAGAATTCATTTCCATATTTTTTATTTTTAAATAATATTATTATTTAAAAATATTTTGAAATTCTATAATGCACTCCTTTATAAAAATTGCTTTTAGGGAATCTAATTATTTAGGGTTCCTTGCGAGAATGGCAGAGGGAGGATCCCACTGCACCAATGACGCTGCTGTGGATTACTACGGCAAGAACATCGCGACGTGCTCGTCGGATGGAACGATCCAAGTCCGATCCATCGACAATCCCTCTGATCCCGGTGTGATTCTCACGGGGCACCAGCTCCCGGTATGGCAGGTTGCATGGGCACACCCTCGATTCGGCTCCATTCTCGCCTCCTGCTCCTTCGATCGCCGCGTGATCGTGTGGAAGGATTCCGGGAGGAATGGGCAGTGGTCGCAAATCCAGGTGTTTGAGGAGCACCAAGGGAGTGTGAATTCCATCGATTGGGCGCCTCACGAACTGGGCTTGATCCTCGCTTGCGGCTCGTCCGACTCGAGCATCTCGATCTTCACGGCCAAGCAAGGCAACGCGTCGGCTGCATGGGACAAGACGAAGATCGGCTCAGCTGTGAGTCCTTTCTTTAGATCTTAGTTTAGTTTTTCTTTGCTTGCATCACGTTGCTCTCTTTATTGTCATTGCATTGTTTTTGTTTGATCTTCTTGCTCTCTGTTCAAGTGTTCTTTATCTTTGTCAGCCGATTGATTGATTTCCTTGCTCTCCAAGCTACTGTAGAAAGTCGTTCCACAATTTAAAGCTTTCACGAGCTCTAACCATTCTTCTTTTTTTTTTTTTTTTGTCTTAGCACGAAGGTGGCGTCACTGCTGTTTCATGGGCTCCAGCACTGGCCCCAGGCGCTCTCGTCTCGTCGCAACCAGCGTCACACAACACCTATGTTTTCAAGCTCGTCTCTTGCGGCTGTGACAACACTGTCAAAGTCTGGAGGTTTAGCGATGGAAGCTGGAAGATGGACTGCTTCCCGCCGCTGTCCAAGCACAGCGACTGGGTGAGAGACGTTGCATGGGCACCAAACATTGGGCTCCCGAGAACTACCATGGCCAGCGCTTCGCAGGATGGGACGGTGATCATTTGGACCCAGGATCACTCGGAAGCTGGCAGCGATCAGTGGCAGGGGCGACTGCTCAACGATTTCAAGGTCCCGGTTTGGAGAGTTCGGTGGTCATCCGCTGGGAACGTTCTTGCCGTGACGGATGGAAGCAATGCCGTCAGCCTCTGGAAGGAAGTCGTGGATGGGAAATGGTCGCAAGTTACGGCTCTTTAGACAGTCAACATCACGAGGATTTTCCCTTCTTGCTTGGCGGCTTTGGATCGTGATCCAATTGAGGTAAGGTTCTCTTTGTTTTCTTTTTGTTACAAGTTTCGTGAAGAAATGATATTTCCAGCGATGTTGCACTGCTTACTTACATCTTTGGATCGCAGATGTTATCTCCTTCCTGGAATTGTTTCCTTTTAAATAAGATCCAGGTTTACTTTTTTATCTTTTCCTTTCCTTGTTTTTTCTTTTTGGTTTTGTTTACAGACGGATATCAGTACTTGTTGTGAAGAGTTCCGTAATGAATGGAACGAAATGCCGCCAGTTTGTAGAAGAAAGTCGTAGATGGTGGCAATTTACAGGTCTCTAAACGAATAGTGGATACACGAACACGCCAGGTAATGGTTCTTATCAAGCTCATGCTTGACTTGGTGTGCGACATTGGTGTTTCTACTTAAGTGAGAGTCTCGAGTTTCACCTTTGATTGTCTCGTGTAGATCAGCTCTGCTCGTTCAAAGAGAATGGGACTTTTCACTTTCTCTAGCATGCTCACTCTCTCGATTGTTTTCTTTGCAGATGTTCTTGCGCTACCTCCGCCAGCAGTAACTTGCAGATCTGGAAACTCAAACTGCACGATCTCTGGAACTTACGGGACATGGCCCGATCGATCCACTTGCAAGGCTGCTCAAGTTTTCTATCCGGCGAGCGAGCAGCAGATCGTCGACGCCGTAGCATTTGGAGTCCGAAACAACATGAAGATGAAAGTCGTGACGAGGCTGTCGCACAGCATACCGAAGCTCGTGTGTCCCGGAGGCGATCAAGGACTCGTGATCAGCACGAAGAACTACAGCAGCGGCATTGTCATCGACAGGGAAGCCATGACGGTCACGGTTGACAGTGGTGTGGAGCTTCGCAACTTTGTGGACACCCTCGCAAGTTCCCAGCTCGCTTTTCCACAATCTTCATACTGGAGCGGCGTCACGATCGGTGGCCTCCTCAGCACCGGTGCTCACGGAAGTTCTCTTCGAGATCTGGGAAGTGCTGTTCACGAGTACGTGACGAGCATCAGGCTCGTGGTTCCGGCATCGCCAGCAGAGGGATACGCGAAAGTTTTAACTTTCACCCAAGCTAGCGAAGATCTGGACGCGGTCAAGGTTTCTCTCGGAGTTCTGGGCGTGCTGTCCAAGATCACACTCAAGGTGGAGCCGATGTTTAAGAGGTCCGTGACCAACACCATGAGGTCGGACAGCGATCTGGAGGATCAAGTCGCCACTTTTGCAAATGGTAACGATTATGGTGACATAACTTGGTATCCTTCCATGAACCAGGCGGTCTACCGGATCGATCAACGGGTTCCAAGCATTGTTCCCGGAAATGGAGTGAACGATTTCATCGGCTTCCAGCCGACAGCAGTGTTAATCTCTCAAGCTACGAGAACTACAGGTAATTTGTTGTTCTTTATAGCTCTTTTGACTTTGTCTTTGTTTGCTGCGATAGAAAGAGTTTTTGAGTTCACGAGAGACACGCAAGGTACGTGTAACAGAGCTCGGCTACAGGCATTCACGCTCTGGACGACTGGCTACGGGCTCAAGAACAACGGCGTTCTCTTCACTGGTTATCCGCTGATTGGAAACCAGAACAGGATACAAACCTCAGGAACTTGCTACAACTCTTCCAGCTCGCTCTTCACTTGCCCATGGGATCCCAGCATCGATGGCTTGTTCTTCCACCAGACAACCATCTCGATCGCCCTCGAAAGATCCAGGGACTTCATACTCGACGTGAAGAGGCTGAGAAACGCGACTTCGAACGGTCTGTGCGGTCCCGACGGCTACAGTGGATTTCTAATGCGCTACGTGAAGAAATCCAGCGCTTACTTGGGAAAGCCCGAGGATTCCGTGGACATCGACGTCACTTACTATCGAGCGGATGACGCAAACACTCCGAGGCTCAACGAAGACGTCCTCGAAGAGCTCGAGCAAATGGCCGTTTTCAAGTACCAGGGAACTCCACACTGGGGGAAGAACCGCAACGTTGCCTTCGTCAACGCTTCCAGAAAGTATCCAAACCTTCCAAAGTTTTTGGATGCGAAGAAGAGGCTGGATCCCAATGCCTTGTTCTCGAGCGAGTGGTCGGATCTGGTTCTCGGAGTGACGACCGCTGGATTGACCAGCGACAAGGATCACTGCGCTCTAGAGGGTCTTTGCATTTGCTCCAGCGATCGACATTGTGCTCCGGAGAGGGGCTACTTTTGCCGGCCAGGACGAGTGTTCCAGCAAGCCAGAGTGTGTCGCTTCGAAGAACGTCTTGTTTAAGAAAAAGTAATAAAAAAATGAACGATTCCCTAGATCGGTTTGCAAGTTTCTGGGACGGAAAAATGTCTGCGCTTGCATAAGATGGCTTTGTGGTACTTCGACTCCTTTGATGCTTGCTAAATTTTCGTCTTGGTGCTCATAGTTATGGGTGTCCTGAATTTGCTCGATCACCACTGAGCCTAGCAGCATCGCTCGAGTGATTGATTGCTGGACTGCTGTCCCTATGTCCCGGGATACTGGGTGGTGAAGCCAGATCATGATCAAGGTCTTGCATTTTCTTGTGACTGAGACTTTGGAGCTGGCAGAGAATGTCCAACAAGTGCATAGTTTTCTTTTTCGAACAAGGAGAAGTTACGTTGAGTTCCACGACTTCTGGATTTTTTTCCTCGCTGTCTGCAGGGTCTTTCTCATTTTATTCTCCCTCGTTTTTCCTCTTATAGTTTGGGATTTAAAGGCAAAGAAACAAGCTACTAATCTAGTGCTGTAGAAGCACCAATGCTCTTGAATTTAGCATGAATAGTTTGGTCACAAGGAGGAGGCTGATTTGAATTTGTTAAATCTGTGCATGACTTTAAAGGTGTAGCACCTTGGATTAATCTTGTGTTTATAAACTATAAACTTATAATTTATAAACATAGATGGCTATATAAAATACTTATGGTGGTAGCAATGGTAATGTAATATCATGTTAGTCACTTTTCTTTTTCTCTAACATCAATTTTTTTTCACAAGAACAAGAATACACTTTGAAAACTCTAATGTTTCTGGATGGTGTTGAGGGAAGATAAATAAGCATCCATAAATACATCTTTAGTTTTATAGGGCATCCAAATGAATAACATAGAATAATTAATTTATAGAATGGAAAGATTCGTAAATTTAATATGGAAATAGAGGGAAGATAAATAAAGTGATTTGTGAAAGGTATATCTTTATAAAGTATTTATTTATAAAATTATTTTAATATTGTAAATGCTTGGAATATGGAAAAGGAATACAGAAAATGTGCATATGAATTAACTCATATAAGAGCGAGTGGTCCGGATTGAAACCAATCCAATAGCTACCAAAATCCCATTACACTAATATTAGTATACGGCATTGTAGCCATACATTTGGCACTCACATCATTCCCTCATCTTGAAATAATAGAAGACCATTAGGGTTCTTTTGTAGATGGGCCGGGATCTGGAGGAACATCAGGAGGAGCTATTGGCAGATCTGTAGGTGGTATTAACTACTTCTGATCCCTTTGTATAAAGCATTTTAACTGTTGCATATGCACAAACTTTGGAGGATTGGTTTGCTAGACGTCATGCTAAACCTCATAAACTTGTGGTCCAACTTGCTACAATACCTGACACGGTCCTTTCCACTAAGCAAGGAACCCTTTAAATAAACCACATACCATAAGATGGGGAAAACGGACTAACATCAAATCATTCACTTTGTACTCCGCAGGTGGATGATAATGGGAGTTGTAGTGCCGTTGTTGTCCCACTTGTACACGGCCTAAGTGTTCGGCAGACCTTGCTCGAACAAGTGGAAGAATGCTTGTCAAATATTGATCCTATGACCTAGCATCGATAACTTGTGGCAATCGCAAAGGTAAACCCAGCTCCGTTGATAATATTAGATCATGACCATAAAAGAGTTTATATGGTGAAACACCAACAGAACTCTACACCCCTGTGACATATGCATACCAAAGAGATAGCAAATAACCATCCCAATCTGAATGCTGAAAGTTCACATACTTCGCGATCATCCCTTTGAATGTCTGAACGAGCCATTTCACCAGACAATTTGATTGTGGATGATAAGCACTCATGAAAGTGTGGCGTATTCCCAACCTAGACGTCAAAACATGAAATGCCTCAGCTATAAATGTAGGACCATTATCCAAAAGAATCCATTCTGGACAAAAATGCTGGAACACCATTCGATTAAAGAGGAAGTATCTAATAACAGTGCAGATGCACTAGCAAGAGCACTAACTTCCACCCAATGAGTCAAGTAGTCAAAAATAATAATAACATACTCATTGCCAACAGTCGATCGTGGAAAAGGTCCCATAAAATCAAATGCCACCAACTCAAACGGATGGGAAACTGCAATTGACTCCAACCGTTCTTCCACGGCATGAAGGGGAATATTATAAGTTTGGCACCAAACGCAGCTATGCACATACTAGATAATATCACATTGCATCTCCAACTAATAAAAAGACCTGCGCAACTTCTCAGTTGCACGACGATGTCCCATATACCCATCTAGAACAGGAGAATCATAGTAGACATAGAGAAACCGCAAAATAAACACAGAAGGCACCACCAGCCATAAATAATCATCAGGATCCATCCCCACAAAATAAAGAAGGCCATTTTCAAGGCGATATTGAGAATGTAAATGCCGGAAAGGCAAGTCGTCAGTAAATGATGCAGAATTCTCAAACCCATCGCGAAGCCTTCGAATCCACGGCTCAATCTTTTGAGCCTCACAAACCTCATCAAAAGAAGGTAAATCTTGTTCTACGCCTTGTGGACATTAAACGTCAAGTACAATAACGCCGACGGCACAAAATCCTTGTTTAGAAAATCCATAGATGCTGGAACAATAGACTCATTAAAAACATGAGAAGAGAGTGGAGAAGGAAGAGGAGCTTGAGAAAGGGCATCAGCATCAGCCATAGAACTCCCTAGGCGATGAATAACATCAAAATCATATATTTGAAGCTTCAAAGCCCACCGAATAATACAACCAACTAGGTTCTTCCGCTTTAATAATAAAGTAACGATAGCATGGTCACATTCAAGTAATGTCCAAGAACCATGTAGATATGCATGAAGTTTCTCGAAACCCTAAACTGTTACTAAACACTCATTCTCTATTGTGGAGTAGTTCATCTTTGCTGG